TGTACAGGTACGTAGGTATTCGTATTTTGTAATTCAATTTGTACTTAATAAACTTATTTATGAAAATTGCGACAAATAGAAGTATGATAAATAATAATCAGTGTTGTGGTGTGTTACCCATATCAAAAATTAAATTCTCTATCACCTAAAAATTAAACATAAGGTTAAAAATTATATAATTTGAATACGTTTTTACGTTGTTTTCGTTTTCAGGCAAATACAGCCTATATACATATCATGGATTAGTTCAGCTGTGGAGTGGTTCAACTTTTTAAATTAAGAGTACAAATATTAGACATCAATATTTTAGTAATTTAATATTTTATCTATTTTTTTAAGGGATTTTCAATATTTTGTCTTGTATACAATATATAATCATCCAATATTTAATTAAACATTTTAAGTGCTTGGTATAATATTATTATTAATATTCCACTAATCGTAAATTACGAATTTTTTTCTACTAGTTATTACTGTAGGTAACTATAATATACTGTACGTGTATTTTTTTATAATATTATTAACTATAGAGTTATGTATGGAAAAAAATCATCACTTTGCGCTTACACAAAGTTACCGACTTATATATGCAAACATTAGAGTCTAGAGTATTCTCTAGCACTTATGCCATCAATTATACCTAAATATAAATTAGTTATAGGTACACTTTAAAATCTTAAAATACATTATGTAATATGTTTTAAGCTTAATTTTAACGAGAAAAACAGGGAACGCCGTAAGTATAGTTAAGCTTACAATTCCACTTAGTCGTACACGTGTGCCTTATTAGCTATTACAGTGGCTGTATTATAGCCTTATAGGCGTGCTCTGTGGGTATGTGTTGATGGGACGGGGCCGGGGGGACATGGTAGTATGGACGCCAAATGCAACGGAATCTCGGCCCAACTGCATTCCCCACCACTACAGACTGAACAATATAATATAGCTTGAACGAGAAAAAAATATGAAAATATATTTTGTTCGAAACGCTGCAACGCAACGACTACGACTACCTCTTAGGTAGTAGGCATATATGTATAAATAATATAGCCGTTCGGCTTACGCGTATTATACATTGTATCTTGGTGCTGTATATACTCCGAAGAGAAGGTCAGCAACCTTTTTGTATGTATGTATATATATATTATTACATGTATGAAACTCGCGTAGGCATATTTTATATTCATAAATATATTTGATATATATCACACTAACCGTTCAACCTTAAACACATGGGCGCAATTTAAATGAAAAAACTCGTAGAGCTGCATGCAGCCTACAACTCCTTATTTTTTTCAGTTATAATAAAACCTTATGACCATTGAGTATTTTGATGAACCACTTCACTCCCTCCCATACTCCAATTAAATAATCACAATATTCAGTAATGAATCACTGCTTTTTATTATTTTTATCATTATAAGGAAATGAGAACTAGTTAACCATGGATAGCATATAATATTATGAGGCTATCTGATTAATTCAAAACTGTAGATGCTAGCACATCCAAGCCACCCTAAAATTGTGTCTTTTAATAAACAACAAATCAATAAAGATCGTCCCGATATCTCTCGCTCAAAATTTGGTCTAATATTGAGAATTTATCGTCTCCCGAATGGAAGTATCTTTGGGTACAAATTATTTCACTCGCTCGAGTGGCTAGTGGGATGTCGAATTATATAATTATATGATCGAATACAGTTGTTAAATTGTATAATAATATTATGTTGTTTGTATAGGTGCATTACGTTGCTTAATTATATGGAAAAAGCACTAAATGTATTATACATCTTTCATAAGAACACTGATAAAATTAATTTTGACTAAATTGCTCATCGTATTTTGTTTGTTATGTAAGTCTGAATAAAATTTCAAATTAGTATGATAAAGAAAGAGCTTATCAAAAGTGCACACATTTAATAAGTATAATAATTGACTGCATATTAGTATAATATATTATGTCATTACAAAACGAATAAAATACTAATGGCTTTTATAATCAATAAGAATTTTGTTCATGCATATACTGCTCTTCTAATGATTTTTGTCAAAACAAATAACCTATAATTCTGAATATAACTTCTATGCTTACATAATTGCATAATGATACATGATAATACATCATATAGATTATGCGTCAGCGATCTACTGGTTTCATACTACTACGTAATTTTATTTCTTGATAAATAATATAATATAGGTACCCGAACAAAACCGATAAGTTTACACAATAAAATATACGATAAATGGTAATTGTATAACTCATTTGTAATTTTGTATAGGTATACTAACACTAACAACGGGAAGTGCAATAGATAAAAGAAAACTACATATTTATACAAACATTATGCAATATTGTGATATATGACACTCAAAAACCTTCTTCGTCACAGCAACAAATATTAGGCACACCTACTCATAAATATTAATATATATATACATGTAGTATAAATTATTAAATTATAGATACTGAATATTATGTACATTGCACATTATCATAAATAAATACTATTCGTCACTCCATCGGGTGCACAGTGCGAATACTTATTTCACACCATAACTGTATTATAAATACAAAAGTTATATTATTGAAGACAATACTAAATGATGATTTTTTTAAGAAATATAATTTCTACACTGAAAAATCTTGCTGACATTGTAATATTACACTTATAGAGTTATAGACGATATAAAAAAATAAACTATACGGGCTAAACAAATTTAATTACAGCTAAAAATGAATATTTTACTATACTAGATTTAATATATTGATGTGTATTGTGTATACTTATTATCTAATAATATTTCGAATAAATAATAGATTTTTTTATAATAATTAGTAGGTATGTGCATAAGCATAATGTATACCTACAAAAATTCGATACTTGTGACCTTTGTCATAAATCATAATAATATTATGCTATAACATCCTATGCCTATTAGTAAATTATTGTTAGGGATGCAAACAATAATTTTTGATTGGATTTTATAGATTTTCCTAACTCATGGAGAAGTTTATAAGCAGACATCATGACCTACGGTCGCATAGAAATTCAGCGTGAAAATGGTAAATTTCGCTCAAAATTAACTGCGGGTAAAAAATGGTACATGTAAATTCAGCCCAAAATTTTTTTTGCATTTTTCAATCAAAACCGCATATAATAAGTTTATATAATTATACTTTATATTACTATATAAGAATACTTTTATTACTTATTGTGTATATACACGTTTTTGAATATGTCTTACTAATTATTTTATTGTTAACATAATAAAGATTAATCATTATAATGTATTAATATTTAAATAAATATATATTTCAAATAATAAGTCAATAATTTCAACATATTATGTCATGTATATCATATAAAATTATTAAAAATCATAAAAACAGTAATATTTATAATAATAAAGACGACTAAAAATATAATCATAATCAATAATATTAGTCAAAATATAATCATTTGAAACATAAATTAAAAATAAATCAAATCAAATCACTTCCATACCATTTTTTTTTGTTTAAATCCCCAGAAAAATGAGCCACGTTTTGTACATAATCATCCATAGATAGTTCATTATTTTTATATTTTCTAATTATATTTTGCATGTAAATATATATATTTTTTTATTTTGAATATCTGTATTTATGTGGTTCATTTATACTATTTATTTTTATGTAAATTTCTAATTGATTTTACTTAAGTTTGTCGAAAAATATAAAATTATGAGGATGGTTACAGTTAAAACTTTTATTAAAATGGGAATTGAATGACTCACAATCATTAGTCGTTCTGTTCAAATCTGCTGTAGCAGCAGCCCATATATTTGGAGGAAAAGGAGCTTTATTACTTTTATAATTAATTAATAAATAATTTGAATTGTGTTAATCTATGGTGATTTGGCTTAGGACTTATTAAATATACTACAAACTAATCAAAAACCATCTCAGACTCAAATTTCCTGGTGGAATTTTCAAACCCATTTTTTTACTTGGATATTTTCCCGGATGAAATTTTCCATTGACCTTATTTTTACCTATTAATTTCGGGCAGAATTTACAATTTCCTATACCTACATGTTAGCTTATATTGTACAGATACATAAAAAACCCTTTAGTATAAGCTACAACTTCGTATGTTGCTTATTGTTTTATCCCTGCTATAAAAATTATTAAAAAGGAGCAAAAAAGATTGTTTTTCATGTATCTAGTTAAATTGAGATCCCATGTTATAATGGTGTAAAAATGAATAAATTCAAAATACTTTTAACGAGGTGATAAGTAATATTGCAAAAGTGGTCACTGCATTCGGTAAAGTTTTATAAGATAATATAATTTGATATTTTATAGCAGCACAATTCAATGTTATGTACTTAAAATCATTGTTGATATTATTACAGAGAGACACGTTCACATTCCATGTTTGCGTGTATGTGGATTGTGGGCCGTCGATTTTGGGGGAAATGTGTAGCACGGCGACGGCTATGGTGCGGAGGAAGTGTGCCTGGGCGGCAGCAGAAGGTGTTGGTGCGATGGAGCGGTGGAATTGGGGGGTGGCGGTGGTTGGGCGGCGGTGGCAACGGCGCCCGCCTCTTGAGCCCGGCCACGCGCAACGCTCTCCAAGGTCTTTGTTCGTACACGCGCAACCGCCGCCTGCAGGTCAACAACAGCGGGCTCATTGCTTCTGCGCAGTAGACGGCGATAGTTTAGTATACGGGAGCGGACGTTCGCGGGCCAGCGTTGCCTGTACGCTTTCACGCAGTCCCGAGCGCGCACTCGCAGACACACACACACCCGTCGGTCGTAAGCCGCTGTTGTCGGAGTATTGACGAGGGGGAATTGTATGGAAGGGCGGAGGAGCGGTTATAACAGAGGGGTCGAGCAGATGGTTCGGCGTCAGCGTGGGGCCTACAATATTATATCCAACATGTGTTTCCCACAGTTCACGCTATACATAACATAGAATTATATACATATATATATATATGTGTGTACTTACATTTTGTGTATGTATATATGTGCTTACATGACGATGACGGACCCCTCTGCCAGGCAGCGCCGTCGTGTGTAAACGAAACTGACGAATACTCAATACATAGAGCTGGGGTCTGAGAATATTATTCTCTTGTTACTGTTCTACTGCGTAGAGGCACTGGGCGAATCACATCAACAAAATAATCCCCTCCGTAGTGTATATTTTTCATAGACTCAAGCAGTGTGTGTAAAATGTTATGGAATTCGGTACATATTTTCGAATATAAAATATACAATGCATCCAATATAACGAGTAACCGAGTAGGCAAGATAATAATTATACACGACACAACTTACGTTCTCCGAGTGCAGTCTCACGGTCAAACACTATTTCCCGGTTAAGATTTTATGAAATATTTCTGTATGCCTCTATATTATGTTAGAAAGCTACATTTATTACACCTCGTTTTTTTTTTATTTGTCTTAAATTAAAATAACAATGTACGAGTATGTTTTCGTGTTACATAAAAAACGTATAGGTAGCTACCCCAATGCTTGGGATAATTAATGCACATATTATGTTATAGATATTTCATAGGTTGAATGATGTACCTCCATAAGGTATTTAAAATATATATGTAGTTCTGGCTTTACGAGAACTTCAGCGCACTATAATGTTATGTTTTTTTTTACTGGACAACGAGCAAAATATAAAATTGACATTCAGCAAGACCAAAATTGTGTTTTTAGCTTTAATATTAAGAAAATTGACGATTGACCTATTATCAGACTCGGGAGCAATTTATAATATGCAATAGTTATGTGTTTGTAAAATGTTCAAATTTAAAAATACTCATATTATATTACATACAAAATGAAATATTTTATTTTATTAACGAATAAACACAGATACATTTTAAGATGTATAATGAATTTTAATAATTTACATTTTATAATAGTTTTAAAATACTTGTAACTCACTTTTAAATCAAAATATAATAAAAAGCGTAAACGATGTTTTGGATAATAATCTGAACTTTTATTTTTATAAGAGGTCAATTCACTTTATTTTTTGACTAATGGAGCTAAACGTGATTTGCTGTTCGTACAATTGGGTATGTTACGTACTAGTAAGACTGAGACAAGAGTACGCCACACCCGCATTGTATGTATTGTCTCCGTCTTACAAACGCATAGGGTAACATGACAAATGTTGTGTTCTAAATAATCGATTTAACTCTGTTATAGTGTTATATCATTCATATAGAAGTGAATTGACCTATTATGAAATTTATCTATCTATTTAACTATCTAGTCAACCTCGTTGGTTTTTTTTATATTTTAATTTAAAAATTATAAGTTGTTTGCGCATTCTAATTACTACATAATATACCGTGTTTTATTCGACTTTTACTATTCTTACTTAATAGACAGTGCATTTTTAAACTAGTAAACTAGGCGACACAGCTAGGTCAGCCAATGAAAATATTTTGTCACCTAGTTAACTGTATTTTTAACTTTTTAAGAACTGGACGACACCCAATTTTTAAAAGTATAGAATTTTTATACTACCCATGCAAAAAAAAAATTAACTAACTAATAAATATTGTAATAATATTTTTCCTTAAAAATTACCTCTTATTTTAAATAAACTATAACTCATTCTAATTAACTTTTACTATTTACTTCTGCTTTCTAGCATTTATATTTATTTTTAATAATTATAAGGTGTAAGCATGAAATAATTCTATCATTCTATAAAGTATAATTTAATATTTATTTTGATAACACATTTATTGTAGTCCAGTGAAAATTCCTAAAAAAATGCATTGTTATTAGTAGGGCTGTGAATTTGTGGGAAAGTACATTTTTTTTTTTGGTGATTGTGAAACGTAGCTTTGTAAGTACACAATTTGAATTATGTAACTACGAATCCATCAATTATGCATCTTTTATTTTGCATTTTTAATTATTTAGGTCATTTTTGTACATTATTAGGTCATATTTTCCTTTTTTAGTTCATTTTCTAGTATTTTTTTTTATAAAATTATGTCAATTGACTGAAAAAATGTTAGAAAAAAAGATAGGATACCTAATATTAATATAAATATAAAAATTAAATCATAAACCATTTTAAATGAATTTTATACTAGTTTTTGGCATTTTATTTGCTTTTTTTGACATTTTTATTGAATTTTTTAAGGTTCTTGAGCGCATTAAATTCACAGCCTTACTTATTACTTATTAAGTATATTATTATAAATATTATAACTAAAAAGATATTTTTGTTGGATAATAAATATTATCCATGTATAATACTTATTGATATTTAATACACATAATGTCTTAGATACATTTATTTTAATATTTTAGGAATAGCCTATAAACCAATCTATTATTTTTTTTTTTCAAGGGAGAAAAACGACGAATATAGAGTAAAACATAAACTCGTTTTAGTTATAATTACAGATTTAAAGATTTCTCTTCTTCGGTTTCAATTTTAATATTTTACGTATTTTTTTTTTTACTATACCTCTTATAAATTATAACTATGTAGGTACATGTAGGTATAATCGATTAATTGGTAAGAAATCAAACACGGATGTATATCGGCTATACTTTAAAACAGGAAAGGCAAGAACCAGTTTTAAATCAAATCTTGACATTCTTTGGATAATAATACAGTACCTGCAGGTATAATAATATAGGTCCAAAGAAAAAAAACCACATTGGCGACGGTGCACATCAGTGCTGTTGTGTATTATAATAAGAATGGACAGCTAATAAAAAGGATAGCAACGGCGGCGGTTGTTAGGGACCCGGCGAACATAAATCAATATTCCCTCTGCACGTATTTATATATATATATATACATACATATATTATCTAATACAAGATACACGTAATATTCCTACACAACCATCGGAGTAAACCGTGAACTGTATACACAATGCGCACGCGTATCGTTGCTTGGCAACGGCAGCCTGGACGTATTTCACAAATATACGTTTCCGGTGTGCGTCGATGACATTTATGTTGGAGTGAAGCATAATATGACCCCCAATTCCAGATCGTATGTAATATATATGACTCACAGTACTTCAGTACTAAGTATAATAATAGTAAACGTATAGGTACTCAATATATTATAATATTCATAGCATATAAGTAGCCATATAATATACAAGTATTTCCGTTAATCACCGTATACAGTATAATGAAGGTACTTACATAATATGAGTATATTATATAGAGATAGTTAGAATAATATATTATAGTAACTCTGAAAACTTTTTGAAATGTTATATTTATCTAGGTAGGCAATGTAATACAAATACCTTTGATATTTATTTTTTGGAATAAGATTTTAAAATGGCGGACAACCAAACAAGGCACGGCGACGATGCGTTCGGTGAAAGTAATTATAGGTAGGTACTACTAATAATATTACGTTGATAAAAATAATAATAAACGACATGAAACTCATAATTTCAAACATTAAACGCCATTTTTTACATTAAAAACGTATTAAAATATGTATTTCACATTGACACATATAGAAAGCTTACTTTTAATTTATAACCTATTGACTATTCTACATATATAAGCAAGCTTATGTTTGTGCCTTTATGCGGATATTATATAATATTAAGCCAGGTTAACACTACGACAAATTTAATATATTATATTACATACAACAACTCTGTACACAATGAATAGTGAATATATTTGACTTTATACTACAAATTACTAACTATATACCAGTGTGCAATATTAAAAAAAAAAAATAGCTACACGCGATGTCATCAGATACCACATTTGAATGTCATCACCTTCTCGGGTGGCAAATGATATGACGTATAAACTACCTTATACCTAAGTATACCAATCATGCGTAAATAATATATAATTTATTAATATTATATTATATGCTATAGAGAATATAATATTAATTAATATCTTGACTATTTATTTACTATATATTATACTATGTACGATATTCTGATGATATTATTATATTCGTATAGGTTTATAGCTATATATAGGTACCTATATGTTTAATGTTATAATAATAATCATGTAGATACACGTATAATTGCAATTACAAATAAGAATCGGAGATTTTTCTTTTATAGATAGATAGGTACTATAAATTACATAAAAAATATTTGTGTATATTGATAATATGTTATTGGTTTAAGTATACCAATAAGCTACATATATAGGTAAGCATAAAATAATCAGTAAGCTGTTTATTATATATTTTATTCATATAATCATCTATGTATCTAATAGGCATGTCAAATGTACTTATATCATTTTATAGTCTACCTACTTAATCTACATTTTGCAATTTTTAAATGAATTTTAACCGGATTCTCATTAACAGTTCAGATAAATATATCAGGTAAATCACGCATAAATACATTGCACATGCTTACGAAAATTAATTTTTTTTTAACTAAACCTATTTATAATCTTTTTACATCGCCCGATGTAATTTTAATGTCAGAAAACGAGAATTCTTAAATGTTGGTGAATGGTTTGGGAGCGTTCGAAAATTCAAAATGGCCGTCCCGTCACGGTCGTTCCGTTGTCAAACGGCAAAATACAACGACGACGCACCACAGAGGCCAACAATGACGATAGATTCGTTTCACGACCTAATGCGGCATTTACCTACTCGTAGACGACGAATTGTTTGCAAGTTATTGTTTTTGTTCGATTTTATTGGTAGGTATGATATTTAAATTCATTAAAAGTCTAAAAACACTATAATAAGTATAATATACTAATATAGTATACTAGTATTTATTTTATAGAAGTATAAAAAAAGGTAAGGTTATATTATCGTAGGTAACGAACATGTCAAGATGACAATAAAGGACAATACATCGCTGACGTTCAATTAAAAATGACTTAATTATAATTATTGAGGATTGAACTTTAGCATAAAGCCTGTGTACAAATCTGCAATGAGTTACCTATACTAAAATATAAATTAATCTGCTTTATTTATCTGCGATCTAAAAAACACTTAAATACAATAAAATTTCGGTTTTGCTCTGTTCAATTTATATAAATACAAAAAACTCTACTTGATTGAATACCTGTGGATGCGCACCTCAAATAATCTGTATAGTCGTCTTTATGCGGTAGTTAAAAATTAAATAATTAAATAATATACCAGAAAACTGAAGTTCTACAGCTATCCCTACGTTAAATTGAATTGTCTATAAAGGTAATATTGTAGAAACAAGAATTGACTTCCACGAAGTAGTTACGTGACGTTCACGTGAAAGTAGTGTGATTTTACGTCTGATGCATTCTGAATAAAAATTAAAATATAATCGCTTGTTACAGTGACGCACATATTGTGGTGAGCGATATTCGCTATTCATTTTCCGTAGTTACTTACTATTGTAATCTGTAGTTTAGAGGTTATAAGTTCCTAATGGCTGTTTTTTAATTTGTATGGCATAACACGATAAAAAAAACAATAACAATAAAAAACAATCGAACCGATTAAAACGATTTCCCAACATCGCATGCGATAGTCGAAATCGTGATCGAAAATGGCTGTCGTCAACGAAAGAGTTGCTAACCGCGATGATACC